ATCGCCTCCCCAACGCTTGTCCTAAGTCTCCGCCAAAATTACCCTGGTCGTGATAAACTTTGGCGACTGCCCCAATTACCCCGCATAAACACTGGGTCGGGATGAGGAGTTGCGCATGTGCCAACTCTGGCTGGCGTCTTCCGGTCGTGTCCGAGCAGCCAATCAACACAAATATCGGGCAGGTTGTAATGGCGTCGGGAGTCCGGGCCTGTTAGTGGAGCGTCCCTCGTAAACTAGACAAATAAACCCAACTGGACTGATACGGTGGATATCAGTGTGTATGTGGGGGTAGGGGGGGGGGGATATCGGTGAAACGTTGGCCACTTGGCAGGTGGGCGCATGATCAGCGCAAGTGCCCAGGGCTGTATGGAACCCAGGGAGGGGGGAGGGGCAGAGAGACAAAAGTCATGGTGGATTGGTCAAGGTCAAGACGCTTGTCTCGTAAAGCGGAGAACTGGAGTTCGATCCATCCCCCGATTGTGTATAATGAATGGAGGGGGCAGGACGTAGTGTGGGTGGTTGGCGGGTGCTCTGGTGTGGTTTGCTCCTTCTTTCCTATCAAACCTCTGTCGTCCTTGTCTCCCCTTCTTTTTTGTGTATGTTACTCTCTTGTAACACATAACCTATTCTTTGGCACTTATATGACAATATGACCTCATTGTGTTGCAAGCGCCGTAAAACTCTTACTAAAACTTTCAAAAGCAGGTAGTCTTTGTGATGTGAATCAATCAAGACACTTGTCTTGTAATACGAAGAACACACGTTCGATTCCGGGGCTGTGTGTAACGAATAGAGGGGGCAGGAGCAGCATGATGAGTTGGTCAAGATGCTTGCCTTGTTTGACGAAGAATAGGAGTTCGACCCCCGATCTGTATATAATGAATAGTGGGAACAGGGACAGCACGGTTATTTTGATCAAAATACGTGCCTTGTAATACGGAGAACATGAATGTGTTGCCCGAGGAGAATAAATTCGAATGAAACGGGTTAGAGAAGCATGGCCGAGGTGGTCAGGACGCTTGTCTCGTAATTGGAGATCTGGAGTTCAGTCCTCGGGTTCCTTGTTAGTGCTTGTGGCTTTAAAAAAAGAGTATATTTATTATATAATTGTGTATGCTTATAATGACAGTTATTTTCCTTG